CACACACACACACACACACACACACACACACACACACACACACACACATACACACCTTCATTCTGGATCAATTAGCGTTCGGGGGAGCAGAGAACAATTAGCCAGCTGGCTTTTATGAAACAAAGCAATTAATGTTACGCTAATAAGTCAGATTTCCAGCAATTCCAGATCATTCTCTAATCATTCGCTAATTACGTTGACGACTCTTTAGTGCATCGGGTAATGAGTGATTAATCGGACAGATCTGGAGCTTTAACAAACTCCTCTGAGCTGCTGCTGCTGCTACTGCTGCTGCTGAGACATCAACATCTGGACTACATGTAATTCAGTTTAATTACACCGTAGCCTATTATAGGACGTGCGATAATGCAGAAATTAGGGATTTGTATTCATTGGGTGTAAATATGAGCTGTTAACCTGCTGGCTGATGGAGGAGGGAAAAGCTGAATATATTGATAAACAGTAAATGTAATCATGCTAGCAGTAAAAGAAACATTAACATGTTGCAGGATTTTTTTCTTTTTTTATGTGAAGATATCAAATCCAATGTATTAAAAACAACATTTGTCCCACAGTAGCTGCAACTAAACATCAACAGACATATTTGTATTTTAAGCAATAATGTCTTTAATGTAAACCACTGTATCTTTATTATTGTCGACTTAGGTTACTGTCCCAGTAAATGTGCTAATGTTGCTCCCCTCTGGGGATTAGCTGAGCTTGGTGTTGAAATTCAGATGAGGAGTACTCCTTCTCTTCCACCCTCCCTCTAAACGACATGGTGATCTGACAGGTGAAGCTCCTGCAGGGGCGGATCCTCCTCCTCCTCCATCCCACTCCTCATCAAACCAGGGAGAGATGCTGTTGGAAGCTCCAAAATCCCAGTGGTGCTTTGAGAGGATATGGATATGATAAGATTAAAGCTGGTTTAAAAATTTGAAAACCAACATTTAAAAACATGTTACCATGTAAAAACAAAAAGTAAATATTTAATGACAGAGGTCATGAGCATTATATGGCTAGTTTAAAAACAACAATTTTAAGACCAACAGTCTTATTAATTGGCATCTATACCTCAGTCCTTCCACAATTCACAACAATTGGTATTTCTTTTATAGTACTGGTCAGGTTATAGTGAAACTACATTTTTCCTGGATATGACTGTTTGCAAGCCACTTTGACTTATGAATGGACTTTTAATTCTCAGACATAAAATGCTATTAAATTCTTTCCATAGTTCACAAAATTACAATAATCTGGCTTAAAGTATTCACTTTTGAATATTCTGCTGTGTTTCTGCAAGACTTCTGCTAACTGTAGTCTGAATTAAAACTCTGAACCATGTTTGGGGTGTTGGTCTCTCTTTTTATTTTATGCAATTTTGCGATAAGTAGTTTGGATTGCTGTGTGTAAAAAGACCGTGGTGCCATGTTTTGTTGAGTTCTAGGAATTTTACATATGAGTGATTGAGAGATATGTGTCTTTGTGATGCATCTGTACACTTTATGGACGAATCAGCATGGCACTCTTCAAAATGTGGAGTCCAAAAGCAATTATGTCAAATGACAACTTTAGGATGAACATAATGTAGTAGTAAACCTTATAAGTCTAACTCTTTTTTACCCAGTTGGTGCCAATGAGAAAAATACTGAATTTTCAGAATCACGAGCATTGGTGTGGAGAAAGCATAAAAGCTAGAAAGTACCCTTTGCTTCAGATGAAACTAGTCTGCAGAACCAATCCTGCTGAAAACAGGTGAAGGTGCCATTAAAAGGCAGCTGTTGCCCCCTCAATTACAGCGTGGAGCATTTGAGGTAATTGGTGTCCCAGCAAGTGAAGGTCAGGGCAGCTGGGGGCTAATCACAGACCTCAGTGGGCAGAGAAAGGTTTGAGATTTTAAGTTGACAACGTGTGCATTTATGGCCTTCACTAAAAACAGAAGCCCAAGTCATTGCTCACATAGCTGCCTTCACGCGCACAAACAAGACCTGACAGCCCACAGCCAGCCTTTATTCATGTCTTTATCTGAGATCCAGGAAATGTAACTGAGGCTGATAACAAACAGAATAGATTTCATAAATCTGTGGGTCTTAAATCTTATTCTTTTGTGCGTTTTGTTTGAGTTGTGCCACTACAAAGAAATTTGAGTCTATCAGGACATTTGTAGCCATTCAGTTTGTCCAATTTTGTTCAGACTAAAATACAACTTGATGACCCACTATTCCTCTGGGCGATCGTGGCTCAAGAGTTGGGAGTTCGCCTTGTAATTGGAAGGTTGCCGGTTCGAGCCCCGGCTTGGACAGTCTCGATCGTTGTGTCCTTGGGCAAGACACTTCACCCGTTGCCTACTGGTGGTGGTCAGAGGGCCCGGTGGCGCCAGTGTCCGGCAGCCTCGCCTCTGTCAGTGCGCCCCAGGGTGGCTGTGGCTACATGTAGCTTGCCATCACCAGTGTGTGAATGGGTGGATGACTGGATATGTAAAGCGCTTTGGGGTCCTTAGGGACTAATAAAGCGCTATATAAATACAGGCCATTTACCATCTGTGCTGCCACAAGATATATGGTTGTGGTTTTGTTGAGTGAAATATTTTAATAATTATTATTTAAAATTTTGATTATATTTGACATGTGGTGACCTAAGAAATAAACTGGAGCTCCAATGATATAAAATCATGTAAATATAAAATCTTTAATGTGGTGCCAGTGCCCATTCTAGAACTGGTTTCATTGATTCCATACCATAATTACACTTTATGGACAAAGGTATTGGCCTCAAACTCTGAATTCGGGTGTATTTGGTGACACAGATATATAAACTCAATCACCTGGCCATGTTGCCTTTACAACATTTGTGAAAGGATGGGTTGTTTTAAAGACCTCACTGAATTTGAGTGTGGGACCTTAGGATGCCTCCGTTCCAACAAGTCAGTTTATGAAATTTATTCCCTCCCAGATATTCCCAGGTAAACTCTTGGTGGTGTTATTACAAATTGGAAGAATTTAAGAACCACAAAATTTAAAGTGGGGCCACCAAGTGCAGAGGGACATAGTGTGTGAAACCTTCTCTGGCATTAACTTTAACACAATAACTGTGTGCCAGGCATGGTTTTCCATGGCAGAGCAGTAATATGTTGGTGGCTGAGTACTTTTATCCATTTTCTCACTGAATACTCAGTTCTCAAATTTTGAAATCTAGTCCAGTTCTCAAAAGCTGCAAAGGCAGAACTGGCTCCACACTTTTTTTTTAAATTAAAAAAAAAAGAAGCATTGAGCTCCACATCTCCATTTGGTCTCTATGGACCAAATTTACTCTGGTTCTTTGGTTATTTTACTAACAGCTGGGAAGTTTTTAGGGGTTTTGGAGTTAGTAATCACTGATATGATACATCAAAATTTCCAAAGACAGTTTATGAAGTTCATCATGTTTTATTGCAAGAGAAATTCTTAATAAACCCCCAAATTTTAGCAAGAGACAAAAATAACTTTCCTTCAGTTCAATGAGATCAATTAGAATTCATATTAATGATTCTGTCCATTAGCATAAAACTCTCTTTAAAAATCAAAATAAAATGTAAATAGTAAATGAAAGAGACGGCATGATGGCGTATTTCATCAGTTTTAGCCAATATAGAGTACAAGCATGAGCTGTGTGGAAACACAGTCAGCAGAATGATCATTGTAGTTCAGTTTTCTTGGGTAACATAAAGCTCCTTTTAAGTCAAAATAGATACTTTTTTTAGACTTTTTAGGGGTACACAGAAACCCTGTTTGCTATCAAAGACAACGTCAGAAACAGAAGCTGATAGTTCTGCTGATAATGGCACCATGGTCTGACTAAAGGTGAATAAATCCAGACCAAAAACAGGCCCAAGAAGGAAATGACTCTCCTGCTGTCTGTCAGAGCCTCTTCAAGCTGGTTATGATGCAGTGGGAGGGAATGCCCCTGAACGGAAGGCCGCTGTGTGTCATGGTTTCTACACACCCGATCAATCTATGTTCCCCAGCTTACATTTACAGTAAATGAGGAGAAATCCAGATGCAATTCACAAGACATTTATAGCAGGTCCTTATAGCTGCATGTTTATGAGGGAATATTTAACATGTCACTGTGTTCAGTGTGACTGTAAGAGAGCAGGAGATCCCTCAGAGCATTTATCCTGGAATTTGATGTCACTGTGAACCCCCAAGTGGACCAAGAAGATCCTCGCTTTGTAAATGAGGTTGTCAGAGACTAAGATGAGGGCAGAGGCGTTGCACCAACATGCAACTCCAACAAACCCCCACAGACTGCGAGATAAAGACAATAAAGGAGTCCAAAGGCAACAAGGCTGAATGTATAATCAGAGTATTAATGCAGATTTTGTTGAGCGCACCTACTAATGAGGCCACATTTGTGATGTTGTTGTGAAAGCCAAGCAAATTTTAGCCAAAATGTGAGAACTGTTCATCCAAACAAATTAAATTTGACAGAGCCTTTCCTCAGGTTTCTAGTGATACACCTGATAAATGAAAAATGGAGTGGATGAATAGTTTTCAGAAAGAAAAGCAAAGAACATGCATCCATTTCCTCTTCTTCATCTGAAGCTGACTCATGGTGGCAGCAGGTTCTGACTCTTTGGGCTGATACCCAGTCAAACATGCTGGATAAGAGACTTAAAAGGTAAAAACTGTGACTCTTTGTCCGCCAGTACGATGCTCAGTGTGTGTTCTGACCTCTTAATAGAGGAACTAGAGTTCGTCTTCAGGGCTCAATAAAGCTTTATTTGAATATGACACACATACACACATGTATGCTGAGGCCAGTGGAGAAAACAAAGAGTTCAGAGGGCTGTGAACTGATGAGCGACCCTGATGTGTCTGCAGTTGCTGATTATCACTTCATATGGATAAATGTGTTTGTGTGTGTGCATGTGTGTGTGTGTTCTCCTGTGGGACCAAAACTGGAGCAAACAGAGCGGCGTCTTCCTGCTCGCGGCTTCTTCCTGCTCGCGGCTTCTTTCTTAGGTGAGGAAGGCGGTGGTCCGGACACTTTGCAGATAATTGGATTAACAGCGAGGAGCAGAAAAGGTGACGGAGTTTATTCCGCTCAGTGAGCCCACCTGGAAAAAGAGGCAACAAATCTTATTCTGACAAATCAGTGTCGTGGAGAACAAGGAACCAAATACAAAAACCTGCACTGCACTTCATTTCCCCATGTGGCTTTTTTAAAGCTTAAGTGTCAAAAGCCAAATGTTTGGAGCTTCAGTGGAGTTTCACTGTGATCATTTTAAGACATGATAAAGACCTCAGTTGGAGTTAGGAAACAGCAGTGCTTCTTTTTATTGTTATTATAATATTATAATGCATATTCAATGAATTTCATGAATTTTTCATGTAATGAATTTGTTGTAGTTGAAGTGTTTTACATATGTGAATAAATATGCTGACATTATCTTTCTGTTGTTGTTTTAAAAAAATGTAAATCAGTCCTGTGGTTTGCGTTTGAGATGAGCCTCGTTTTTAAACTTTGGTGATTTAAGGTTCTGCTGTGGTATTTTGGCTTTAGCTTTAAATCTTATAAACTATATGTATTAAAGTATGGCTTCACTTGAAATTAGGCTTTGTGAAGTGCATTTAAACTGTGGTTAGTTCACTTACAGTTGGTTATGTTGGTGCCTTTGAGTGCTGATTGGTTTGCATGCCTCACAGGCATTTACTTTTTGCTGTAGTGTACTGCATGCAGTATACAGATACTACTATGTCCATCTTGTTCTACTGGTGCAGACACTCTTATTTTGAAAGTTTAAGTGCTCCTAACTGATACTTACCCATTTCCCCCCCCATTTAAGGTCCCAGGTAAGGTCCTGGCTCCTTCAAAGTAAAAATTTAGTCATGATAATCCTGAAAACAGAAATGAGCGTTCTTCTCAGACAGGGAGATGACAGTAAAGCCTCGTCTCCTGACCAAGATGCCTCCGAGGTGAGGTATTTTCGGCATTTCCAACTGAGGGGAGGCTGCAGGATGGAACCAGGACAAGATGGAGAGATTATTCCTCTCAGCTGGTTTGGGAATGCCTCGTTGTTAGAGAGAGGTGTGTGTCTCTCTGCTGAGACTGCTCCTCCCATGACCCAGACATGGACAAGCAGCAGATAATGGATGGATGGATGGAGTGAACTTTAATCATGCAAATATAGCTCTTAATCTTGACTAAAGGAACTGTTCATATATAAACGTATGTTTTTCATGCAATCACAGAGGATTTTATCACAGCAGCGTAATGTGAGTGTTTAACAGTCTAACTTTCAAAACAAATCAGTGGGTTTTGCAATGAAATGGAAAATGCACTAATAGTTCACATTTACATGGTCTACATCACAAGGAAATGAAAAGGACAGTGTCACTGTGAATTATGGGATGGAATTATGTCCTTTCTTTTCAGAGAAGCTCCAGTGTTTTCTCTGCTAAGGGAGATAATAAAGGAAACATTGAAGCCACCTCAGTCAGCTTCCTAAGCAAAACTAGTCCTTCAACCCTAAGATTCAAGATGAGGCTGAGAGATGTGATCATGTGACCTGATGGACATGCCCACTACTTTGTGGTTTTGTGTGTGTATGTGTGTGCGCATGTGTGTTAGTCCTTTGGGACCTCCTTTTGGGAAGTGGGTCAACCGCTTGGCAAGGCATGCCGGCTCGTTAGCATTGAATGTAAACACACACACACACACACACACACACACACACACACACACACACACACACGCACGCACACACACACACGCACGCACAGAGCCCCTCTGGCTGTAATTGGCAACAATGAAAATTACACACAGGCTAATTAGCAGCTCCTTGACACAGGCAGGAAGCTCGGTGTGTATGGATGAACGCACACTCATCACTAACTGCAGCATAGTTTAGAGACAACAAGGATTTACAGACACTCAGCAACACCTGCTGACAGCGAGGAGGTCCAAACACCTAAAATCAAATTCATCCTGAGCCAGAAAACGAGCTGATTTTATTTAACTTTGATTAAATGTGTCACCAAGTCACATCACTCATAGATTCATTCATTTTAATACATGTCTGTGTGGTTTACTTAAAATGTACACTAGGATGTGCACATGTTTGAGTGTCTCTGAAATCTACACATATGCATATCGGTGTGTTCGTGTTTCAGGAGGAGTTTAAGGAAGTCTGAAAAACAGCTTCATGTCATCAGACATGTGAAGTGTACTTTCAGCATCTTTATGAAACACAACTGTTATATCTGTTCTAGTTATAACCAAATGAGCTAACGAGGTCTTCCTCCAATTTATCTGCAGTGTTAGAGCACCCTCCAGTGGCTACTGACAGCTCAAAAGGTTTTGAATGAATTCTGATAAAACTTTGGAGATTGGGGTGGTGTTAACAATCCATTAAAATTTGGTTTACATCCACTGAGGTCTTCAAGGTCAGCTTAGTGAGTTATTGTTTGAGAACTGACAAAAAAGCCTCATAACTCAGAACCTGTGATTCTTACAAGTGTGGTGTGAAATCTCACCATATAGAAAGTCCCATAGAAAGATTTACAATATCATGCAACATTTGACCTCTGACCTCTTTTTCAAGGTCAATGATTGAGCTGAAGGTCAAAGTAATAATCATCCTAATAATAATAATAATAATCCTATATACAACTATTTAAAACAGTTTTTGCAGTTCTTACTGCAGGCTTGTAACAACATTAAAGTATATAGGGAATCATATATGCAGATTCTAAATATCATGTGATTTTTTACCTCTGCCCTCACTTTTGTTCTTTTGACATTTGTTCTGATCTTATTCAGCTTTACAGATGAAAACCACACAGCGATATTAAAAGTAATGTATTTATTAGAAATTATAACCACCTTGATAGTCCTTTTCATAATCAAAGTCTTCCTCTTCATGGAAACATATAATCCAACCTTGTCATTTATGTTTCCACATCCATTATTCATAATATCCAGTCATCACATTTCCAGTAAAGAGCAGACTCCTGATCGTTTGTATTGTTCTAAGTCGCTGAGTTCTCTTATTATCAGAACTTTCACTTCTTTAGGAGTCTTATCATTACTTTGCAGTTCCTCGGTCATGGTGCTTATATCTTGTTTTGTTTTTCAGGCTACGTGCCTGTTTTGCAATTTCAGCAGTTTTTTTCATTAAATGTTCATTGGAAATACACACCAGTCCTCTTTAGCTTCTTCAAAATGGGCTTTGTTTTACTATCTATACAGAGCATGTGACATGTTGTGATATGATGTCTCTGAATACTCACATTCTTCATTTGGAGAAATTTATCACTTGCTGTTCAAGTGTTTGCAGCTCCTCTGCTGGGGCATCTTCACCGTCTCTACCTCTGCCAGCTGTTGATCTGGTGTAGGTTCAGTGTTACATCTCTAGTCCACTTATGATTAAATACTCATTCTTGTGTATTGTTCAAGGCCCTTGATCCGCTGTTCCAAGCCGTCTATTTTCTTGTCCTTCTCCTTTATCAGGTTTTTTTTAGTTGTTTAATCTCATTTATTAGGACATGTAGCATACCTTGCTGTTTAGCCACTTTGCTCAGTTCGTCCAAAATGAAATTTGGCGATTTCCTGATCTCCTCCGACTCCTCTTCAACTCATGAGTTTGCATTTTTGGTGGCATTTTCAGATCAGTGAGATTGCTATTACCTTCATTAGCGCTGCAATAAAATATCTGTGCATGGGCTCAGGAACACTTCCAGAAACAGCGTCTGTGAGTTGTTTTAAGAAACAACTAAAAACTCATCATCTTAGACTTGCTTTTGTTAAGTCTTTTTTTTAGTGCTCCGTTTTTTAAATTTTATTGTGAAGCACTTCGTTATCCTTGTCTTGAAAGGTGCCATATAAATAAAATGCAGCTTACTCCTGAGCTACGACCGCCATCCATGTGGAAGTAAGCTGGAGGCTACGCACCCAATCAGACATCAGGCTGAAGCCTGGCTGCGCACTAAACTTGTGAATGTCTGAGTATTTTTTAAATTCTTCTTCTGTGCATCTCAAACAGGTGAAGATTCTTATCAAATGCCACACAGACTCACAGAGGCCCCAAACAAGACTCTGAATCCAGGATAAAGCAGTTCAGTGAATGTTGTGCTGAAAGTGTGGAGGTGGATCAGAGTTTCAGAGGAGACTCTGTAGAAGGACAGAGTGCCAGAAGGACAGTCCACATACACTCCTACTCTGTTAGAGACAGAGGAGGAGGATGAGATGGATGTTTGTCTGTTGTTGTGCCTGACAGAATGAGGACCATCATCTGTACAATACAAACTCCAGGACTGATCATTCCATCCAAACAAACAATGTTTAGCATTTTCTTTCCTTCTGATTCTTCTGTAACTCACTGATATATAAACGTTTCCTCTCCACTCGACCTCCCAGTAACAGCGACCAGTCAGACCATCTCTACACAATAGTTGAGGATGGAAGTCAAATCTGTCTGGATGATCAGGATATGACTGATCCTCCTCCACACGTGTCACCTTCCTGTTGTTGTCAGACAGTTTGAGGTTTGTGTTCACTGTGTTTGTGTCGAATGTGAGTTGACAGGAATCTGATGGAGAGAACAAACACAGTCCAGTTGCAGTTATTGATCCATCATCTGTTCATTGATTGACACTTTGATGATGACTCTTGACATCAGAGATGTGAACTTTGTTTTCATGAATCACATTAAAAACACACTTACACTTCCTCAGACCTGGTCTCAACCATCGGACTCCAGCAGGCTCCACCCTGAAAGGAGGAGGGGGTCAGACCAGCACAGTCTCTTTCAGCACGCACACATGGACATTACATCGCTCTCATACACATGCTGTTAGACACTGATGAAGTCTGTATGACAGAAAGTGAAAGCTTACATTGAAAGCTCAGGACACTGGATGAGAGACCCTGAGTTAGATCAGTCTCTGGAAAGATAATTAAAGCCTCATTATACTGACTAATACCAAATTAAAAAAGTTCCTGATCAAAACCTCCAAAAGTTTATTTTGTTCATCTGGATGTAGCGTTTTCAGTGGGAGAAACGTTTCAACATTTTCAAACCCCAAAACACGCTGCACCAAAAATATGCAAATTATATGTTACATGGTTGGATGTTAAGAAGAAAATTTTTTTGATCATGCAATTTATTGAAAACAACACTTCCTGCATATTTCAGATTAGCTTTTTATTGTGGGCAGTCTAAGGCACACCTGTGCAATATTCATGCTTTCTAATCAGCACCTTGACATGCCACACCTGTGAGGTGTGATGGATTATCTCGGCAAATGAGAAGTTCTCACTAACACAGATTTAGACAGATTTGTGAACAATATTTGATAATAATGGGTCCTTTGTGTATGTAGAAAATGTTTCAGATCTTTAAGTTCAGCTCATGAAAAATGGGAGCAAAAATAAAAGTGTTGCGTTTATATTTTTGTTTAGTGTATGTTGTGTAATAAGATTATCATTTGGTTGCCTTAAGTTTAGTTATGTTTCACGTATGTCTTCCTTATTAGTCTGTCATGTTTCTTGTCTTCTTGTCCATGTTGTCATGTCTGCGTTCCATGCCGTTTCCTGTTTTATTGTGTTTTGCTTCCCCTTGTCTTGTTAGGTCTGATTTGTTCCAGCTGTGTTCCCACCTATTCCCCATCCCCCCATTATCTGATTGTGTACTAGCCTTCTGTCTTCCTTTGTTCAGTGTCAGGCCATCTTTTGTCTTTTGCGCCATATTTCTATGTTCCAGGTATCTTTGTATCCATGCCAAGTTTCATGTTTTTTTTCATGTTTTTGTTTTTTATGTTTATCTTTAGTTTCCTCGGTTTAGGTTATTGTTTATTCTTGTCTTTGTTTGCCTTATATATTACTTTCTTCATTTCTTCATCAGCCACATTAAACGGCTCGCTTTTTGTTAATACTCAAATTTTGGTTCCACGTTCCTCTGTGTCTGCATTTTGGGTCCACTCTTCATAAATTCAAACAGTCTGCTTCGGCTCACTGTGACAAATGAATTATAAATATTATATCGATATTGGAGCAAAATTTATATATAAAAAAAAAAAGCTCCTTGATGAGTGAAGAAATTTCTCCTATTTCCTCGAGTGTCTCTTTCTCCATTGCCAGGCACTTTGGCTGCCAAAGGCCACTTCATACCTGAGTATGTCCAGTTGGAGCTGCTTCAGCAGCTTCACCCCTGCCTCTCCTGGATCATTGTAGCTCAGGTCGAGCTCTCTCAGGGTGGAATGGTTGGAGTTCAGCACTGAGATAAGAACAGTACAACCTTCTTCTGTGATCAAGCAGCCTGACAATCTGCAGACAGCACATGTGACAGATACTATAAGAGAACAGTGACGCAGTCAAATAGCGAGAAACAATACCTCCATTTAACAAATATGTGATCGATTGAAGCGCAGAGTTAGCTTTAACAGAGATATTTTGAGCTAAAAGTTTATTTGTTCAATTAATGAAACTATTAAAGTAAGAATTAGGACAAGCCCTACACAAAGTAGAACTGATGCTCATATGAGTGTCATTAGTTTTGTAGGGATTTAAGCACTACTTAAAAAGTTGACCAGATAATTACTCTCAATGAAAAAGCCTGGTGTAAATTACTAGCTGAAAATGTGAACATCTGTAATAAATTACATCAAATTAAAAACAACAAATCGATGCTACACAGTCTGTGTGAAAAGAAATCCTGTTATTAGATAAAGTTTTAATAATATAGCAGAATATAGCAGAATAAATCAACAATAGTCCTGGTTAGCCATGGTTAGCCACATAGGTTAGCATTGAATATGATTTAAATGGACTTTATATGCAAAGTTTGAAGAATCCTGACCTGAATATTTCCAGTTTACAGTATGGACTCTCTAGTCCACCACACAGTGTTTTCACTCCCGAGTCCTTCAGGTCATTATTATTCAGGTCCAGCTCTCTCAGACTAGAGGAGTGGGAGCTGAGAACTGAGGATAGAGTGTCACAGATTCTGTCCGAGAGGTTACAACCACTTAGTCTGTTGAGACAACAAGAGGTAAAAAACCCCAAACAAACACACAAACCAAAATAAACAAACAAACAAACAAAAAAACGTTAAAATGTGCAGTCTATACTGATTATTAACTGTGCACATGCTAAATCCTTGCTGGTCTATTCCAAATATCCTTAAGACATTTTATTATTTATACACTTTGTGCATTATTTGTACAAAATAAAATTTATATTTTTTAACATCCGACTAAATCACAGTGACGTATTTATGGTCATTTTATACTTTATACTTCATTTTTATTGCAATAATATTAACCCTCTGGGGTCCAGGGTATAACTGGCCGTTTTTGACTACTTTTGATTTTACCTCTATATTTCACCTTTAAAAACTGTTTATCTTGCCTTATTTTGTATCATTATTTTCAGCACAACCTCAAATATTTGAAATTTGAGTTATTTTTTCATTTTGGCATACTATATTAGCACAATTGATCTAAATTCAGACAAAAAAATTTATCTGAGTAGAAAAAAGTTATATTTTTTACTGTAAAACCCACAAACATGTTTAACGAATCATTTTCATAACTTGAAATGCAAATAGAAATTGTACATTTCTAAAAAATATGCACAAGTTTTGCAAACAACAAAGTTATATGGTACTTTTTACCTAAAAATGCAGCCAAGGCCTCAGGCGTTTTTTATATAACCATTTAAATCTATTTACAGAACAATCATGTGTGCTGCATCAGATGAGAAGGCACACAAATTATTTGTGCGAGTCCAAAAAACTAGTTTGTGTTCAGTATAAAACAGAGGAGAACACCACAGGCCTAAACCCTGCAGGTCTGACAGCAGGAGGTGCATCAGTCCTGTTTTCCATGTGCGTTTACACTGGAATCTGCATTTGATGGCTTTTTTGGAGCAAATGTGACATTCAGCAGTATAACTGACACACAATACAAGACAATAACTACACAACACACTAACTCTAGCCTCCAAACACGCTAAACGTCACTAATGTCTCACATATGAAAACTCGCTCTCTCTCTTTCTTTTACTCGCCCGCTTTCCGTCGCAGGTGTCACTCCTAAAACTTCCCCTTCTCCCTAAACAACCAAGTGCCGCATGGTAAACTCTAACACCAATAGGGAAGGGGTGTTTTTTTCTTTTTTTCACTCGCAAGTGGCGAGTGTTTGCTAGCGCTGTCTGTAGAAAACACAGTTTTTACCGTTCTTCCCGCTGTAAACACCACTGTTTTGTTCAGAAAAAACATTGCGTGTATTTTTTATCATAACCCTGGCTTTACGTGGCCCATTGACACAATTCAAAAACTGGTATATCGTTTGAAGTCCGTACTCTCGACCCAAATTGAAATGGAGACTGAGTCGCAACATCTTGTAGCTGTGTCGTCTTAAATTGGTCATGTGATTTTGATGCGCCGGTGCGTCTGTCGACTCCAGAGGGTGAATACAATAATAATCAATTGATTGTAATTTAATTGCAATAAATTGTTTTACCTGTATAACAAAGTTAAAGTCTAAAGTTGAGAACTGAAATACAAATTATTTGCATGCACTAAGGCTGGGCGATTGGAGGAATATATCGACTATTGACAAAAAAAGCTCAATCGTTTTTACAAGGGTGATTTATTTATTTATTTGCTAATAATGTTGGCTGAAGCTAACAGAAGCAGTCAACAGAAACAAATAATAGCGCTGTTTTAACGTCACCCTCCTTCAGCTGTGAGCAAATGCACCCTCCTTAGAGTGCTGGAGCGATTTACTCAAATAAGAGAAAGAAAGAACAGCAGTAGCCTATGTTAAAAAAAACCAAAAGCATTTTATCAAATAAAAAAACCCACTATGGTGGGGAAGGAAACAAAGAGAAACTGGCTTATTTTTTCCACTATAACCGTGTTTACAGGCATTTCCAGTGTTTATCTGTTTTACACACTCGACCAAACAACTCTTCACTGAGGTAACAGTCTATTTCTATCTGTGCCTTTTCCTCCAGTGTGCAATTTGGCAATTACTTTGTCCATGTTTGGACTTCATCTGTGTTCTAAACGCGCAAATCAATATGTGCATCATTACATTGCTCTGCCCATCAAAAAGTCTGTGCATACGTGAATATATCACCTGCATCGGTTGGAAGTTTTTTTTACATATCGCCCAACCTAAGCATGTTCTTTGGAAATAGCGGTTCAAAGTAATGCAGTCCACTTTCAATCCTCCTTGTCCATATCATTAAAAGCAGCCAAATATAGTAATAAAACATTAGCAGCTTAGTCATTTGTAAAGTAGTAAACCAGTACAAAAAACAACAAAAAAACAACAACAAAACAAACCCCTCCCAAAACACTTGGCATGGCTTGTTATCCAGAGGTGGTGGGGAACATATGAATCCTCAAAACATACCCTCTGCTTATTCGGTTCGCATTTATATTCATAAGCATATGGACAAATAGGCTGCGTGAGACTACGAAGCTACAGATTCACAAACCCTTCACTTATTTCTTGTTCACGTTCAAGTAGAATTCCTGTAATGAGCTAAATGAAAAAGGCTACTTTATGTGTGACTGTAAGAAAAACTTTCAAAATCATCTTCCTCTATCAGACACTGTGGCTGCAAACAGCCTCTGCACACCTGAGTGTGTCCAGTCGGAGCTGCTTCAGCATCTTCACCCCTGCCTCTCCTGGATTATTGTAGCTCAGGTCGAGCTCTCTCAGGTGGTAATGGTTGGAGTTCAGTGCTGATGTCAGAGCACTACAACCTTCTTCTGTGACTGAGCAACTTGACAATCTGCAGACAGCATACATGACAGAAACTATTAAACAATTAGAAAAAATTGAACTGGTGCTCACGTGGTAAATGGTAAATGTACTGGTTCTTAGATAGCGCTTGTCTACTCTACCTGAACTCTCAAAGTGCTTCATGAGTGTCATTTCTTTAATTAAAGAGAAAAAAAAGATCCTAAACAGACCACATGAAAAGAAAGTAGTGAGAAAGTCCTGATAATTTAATATGTAATATCTAGGATCTCAACTAGAACAATTTTACACATATCATGAAAGATTTGAAGAATCGTAACCTAAGTTTTTCCAGTTTAGAGTGTGGACCCTCAAGTCCCCCAGACAGTACTTTCACTCCGGAGTCTTTCAGGTTGTTGTTACTCAGGTCCAGCTCTCTCAGACAAGAGGAACGGGAGCTGAGTAGTGAGGATAGAGTTTCACAGATTCTGTCTGAGAGGTTACATCCACCAAGTCTGAGGAGACAACAATGGACAAGAAAATAATAATATGTGACTGCACAGCATGAACTTTTGATTATACATGGACTATATAAATCATCAACTTAACACATGCTAAATCGTTACCAGTTTACCCTAAGAAACCCGATGACACAATGAGCTTATACATTAAGTGCAGCTTCTAATTGGCACATAAATCTTACATCAAACTAGACAGCACACAACTGTGCTAAACAGAATAACAAAAACAGTGTGTTTAAATCATGAAAACTTTATGACTTACAGCGCTATGCTGGAGCATTTAATCACTGGCAGGAGGCTTAGGAAAGCCTTCTCTGAAGCAGAGTATTTCTTCAGGTCAAACACAAACAGATCTTTTTCTGATGATAATAAGATAAAGACCAGAGCTGACCACTGAGCAGGAGACAGTTTATCAGCAGCGAGACTTCCTGATCTCAGGGACTGTTGGATCTCCTCCAATATAGAATGTTCATTTAGTTCATTAAGACAGTGAAACAGGTTGATGCTTTTCTCTGCAGATAGATTTCCACTGAGCCTCTCCTTTATGTGTTGAACTGTTTCCAGATTGGTCTGTGAGCTACATCCTGTCTGTTCTAGCAGCCCATGTAAAAGACTTTGATTGGTCTGAAGTGAAAGACCCAGGAGGAAGCGGAGGAACAAGTCCAGTTTTCCGTTTGAACTCTGTAAAGCCTTATTCACAGCACCCTTGTACAAGCAAGTGTCTGCAGATTCTTCTTCTTGCAAATTCTGGGTGGTTTCCTGTTGCTTTTCCAGTAAATTCACTCCAGAGTTGATGAAAGTCAGATGGACATGAAGAGCAGCCAGAAACTCCTGAACACTCAGATGGATGAAGCAGAACACCTTGTTCTGGTACAGTCCTCTCTCCTCTTTAAAGATCTGTGTGAACACTCCTGAGTACACTGACGCGGCGCTGATATCGATGCCACAGTCTGTCAGGTCTGATTCATAGAAGATCAGGTTGTCTCCTTGCAGCTGCTCAAAAGCCAGTTTTCCCAGAGACTCAACCATCTGTTTGCTCTCTGGACTCCAGGGTGGATCTGTCTCCATTCCTCCATCATACTTGACCTTCTTCACTTTTGCCTGAACCACCAAGAAGTGGATGTACATCTCAGTCAGGGTTGTAGGTAGTGCTGTCCTTGTTTCCTCTTTTCTCTTCTTCCCCACATCCTCCAGAACTGTAGCAGCGATCCAGCAGAAGACTGGGATGTGACACATGATGTGAAGGCTTTGTGATGTCTTGATGTGGGAGATGATCCTGCTGGCTTGCTCCTCATCTCTGAATCTCTTCCTGAAGTACTCCTCCTTCTGTGGGTCAGTGAACCCCCTCACCTCTGTTACCATGTCAATATACCCAGGTGGGATTTGATTGGCTGCTGCAGGTCGTGTGGTTATCCAGAGGTGAGCAGAGGGAAGCAGGTTCCCTCTGATGAGGTTAGTTAGCAGCACATCTACTGAGGTGGACTTAGTGGGGTCTGTCAGGATTTTAGTTTTGTGGAAGTCCAGAGGAAGTCGACACTCATCGAGGCCATCAAAAATTAAGACAACCTGGAAGTCTTCAAAGCTGCAGATTCCTACTTCTTTAGTTTTGGTAAAGAAGTGATGAACAAGTTCCAGCAGGCTAAAGTTTTTCTCTTTCAGCACATTCAGCTCTCTGAAAGTGAATGGAAATATGAACTTGATGTCCTGGTTGGTTTTGTCTTCAGCCCAGTCTAGGGTGTATTTCTGTGTTAGGACTGTTTTCCCAATGCCAGCCACTCCCTTTGTCAGCACTGTTCTGATTGGTTCATCTCTTCCAGGTGAGGCTTTAAAGATGTCTTCTTGTCTGATTGTTGTTTCTGGTCCATCTGGTTTTCGTCTCCTGGATGTTGTTTCAATCTGTCTGACCTCATGCTCATCATTGACTTCTGCAGACCCTTCTGTGATGTACAGCTCTGTGTAGATCTGATTCAGAATGGTTGGATTTCCTGCTTTAGCGATCCCCTCAAACAGACACTGGAACTTCTTCTTCAGTTGAGATTTAAGATTATGTTGACAAACTGGAGCAAATCTGCCTGAAAACAGACAATATGTTACCTGATTAAGTTATATATTAAATATCCCACCATTTAATTCTTCTAAAGAATGAGTGTTTACATATGTGCTGGTGTAATCCTTCAGACATTAGTAAATGTCTTAGTATAACCAGCAGCTTCTATGTTTAGAAAAATCCTCTTACTGCTCAGCAGACGGTCAGCCAGCTCATACTGCTTCATTCCTCTCAGAAACTGCAGTGTGATCTTTATAAATGCCTCTCTGTTGGTACGCCTTTGCTCTTCATCCTCACACTCCAAAATCTCCTTATCCTCCGTCTGGCAGTTTAAGCATTCTGAATAATCTGGATACAGAACTGTCTGGATCTTCTTTAACTCATTCTTCACAAAAGTGATGATTTTCTCCTCCAGGAGCTGGAACAGAAATTTATATGAATGACTCAATAAATCTGAAATCATAGATACAAACATCAGAACCATGTTGAAAACAATTACAATCCAGCTGGAATTAAAATCTGTTTTATTTATACATCATTCCAGGGCTTCGTGTGGTGTCAGTTTGCTGTTTTTAGATCCCCCTTAAAAGCTGAATAAATTAACTTTAGACCTTGGTGATGGAGGAAAATGTCTCAGGGAATGTTAAGATTCCTGCTGAGCACTGCAGATCTGCATACACCATTTCTTTTGTTTTGCACTCAATGCTGCATTCATGTGGGCATTCACACCCATCAATCTGGGAAGAGTTTTAAAGCAAGTTGAAAACAATTTGAAGGCCATCATCCTAAAGATTATTCACAAGTGGAAAATAATAAGTCAGTTGCTAGTCTTCCAAGGTGTGGATGTCGCGGCAAACCTGGTTAGACTGTACAATTCTCAAAGAAACAGCAAAAAAAACACAAGAGCTAAAGAGTTGAAGTTTATGACAGTACATTTAGAAAAAGGAGAAACAAATATTGCAAGTTTAGAAGGGTTGTCAGGAGAAAGCTCTCCTTTCTGAGAAGAAAACAGCACAGCTTAGGTTTGTAAAGCTGCATCCAAACAAACCACAAGACTCTGAATGGATGACACCAAAGTGGAGACCTTTGGTCATACCACACAATTTTGTGAAAAAACACAGGATCAGCACTAAGGAGCCGAACCCCAACCCTGAAAAACAAACAAATCCCATAATCAAACCTCCACTAAACTTTACATTTGGCACAGTGCAGTCAGACTTTCATTTCCAGTTGCTTCCACTTTATTATAATACAACTTTCTGTAACGATTTAAAAGTATTTTTTAAATAAAACTAACAAGTGGTTTAGAAATATTAGAGCTTGAAATACAATGTAAATACCATACAGTTATATTTTTGCTGCTGCACCATCTGAATTTTGAAGCTATTTTCAAAAATAGTCACGCTTTTTGCTTCTGTGTTTGGTTGTAAGAACATGCATAAAATTTTTAAGAAATGACTGTGAACAGATGTAAAGTACTGTTTGTATATTTACAGACCATAAATATGGAGTCCAGGTGTGCTTGATGCTCCTGGGGAGGCTGATCACTGGGAACCTCTGAGGTATTCTTGTTCTCTCTGTAGAGATGAATAAATAAGAGAGAAAAAAAGACTTCTCAGAAAAACTATTTTACAATCCCACCTTCCTAATTAAGAGGAAAGGAAAACCATGTAATCATGTTTTACCAGTGTTAGAATTTTTTACAGTGATGATTTGAATTGTTGAATGATTTGTTTTAGCTTGATTACCAGCAGCTAAGACAGATGTTCATATAAGATAGAATCACGGCACTGATGGACTTCTTTGAGACATTAATAATTGATTTGTGGCTACTAGGTGCAAAATAGTCTCTTGGACTTTACCTAAGCCATCAAGAAAGAAACCTATAAGTGATTTGTGGCTTAGATTTTAACTTCAAAGGCTTCTAAAACAAAGGCTGCCAGTAAAATGGCAAAAGCCCCATAGCCCTTTGTTCGGTGGCTAAATGGTGGGGCAATTAGGAGCAGCTGGTTAAAAAAAAAAAAGAGTCTCTATTGACATCCAATTCTTAATAGCAGTAAGGGCTGCCTCCACTTAGCAAGACCTGATGCCACTCGACTGGTTGTTACCAACATTGTTTTCTGAGCCAAAGTACAAAGTTTACACCTGCTGGACCAGCTTTCTGACAGAAAAGCCTCTTACATCAGCGGTTAGGTTTTTGAAAGTTTACTGAAAAAATAAAAATATATACAGATATAGATTACCTTTCCACAGCAGAGTTTTGTCCTTTAAAATTAGCACCAATACTCTTT